AACCACGAGCTTAGATTTAATGCATTAATAACTGGCTTCTGTTTTCAACACTAAAGCACCATCTAAATGATAAAGCTGCTTAAGAATAATTTATTCTTTTTTTCATAGCAAGCTTATGTTATTTTAAATATGCTTATGAAGAAGCAAAAGCACAGAGAAGCTTTGTGACTCACTCATAAACTGGAAAGGGTCAACGAAATAAGAATTGAAAGAATATACTATTAAAAATATGGTGACATATTGTAAAATATAGTGTCCATGACATCAACCTCAAATTTAGTGATTGCACCAAAGTACCTTAAGTCCTCTTAGTAGAATTCTAAAATATTTGCCACCTCTGAATTCATTCATGCTTACATGCAACAACTACTTATTGAGCACCAATCACGTGCCAGTAGAGCGGCAAAGAGGTAAGACAGAGTCAGCCAGCATGGAGCTAACAGTGGATTGAAAACAGAGAACTAGCCGGGCTCGGTGGCTCAGCCTGTAATCCCGTGCTTTGGGAGGCTGAGGTGAGTGGATTGCCTGAGTCCGCAGGTTCGAGACCTGCCTGGGCAACTTGGCGAGATCTCATCTCTACATAAGTTAAAAAAAAATTAGCTGGGCCCGCTAGTGTGCGCCTGTAGTTCCAGCTACTCGGAAGGCTGAGGCGAAAGGATCGCCGGAGCCCAGCAGGTCGAGGCTGCGGTGGCCGGGAGTGGCTACTGCACTCCAGTCTGGGCGACCGAGTGAGACTCCAACTCAAAAAAAAAAAAAAAAGAAAACGAGAACTGCTTGCCAGGAGACTAGGATTCTGCTTCCTCCATCACTGACTGTGAGCAATTCATCCTCTCTGTGCATCACTTTCTCCTGTGTAAAAAGAACAGGTTAGACAAGAGCTTTCCAAAGAACTTTAGTCCCTTCAAAGTTCTGAGTCTGTAGATTGGAAGAAGTCCTAGTTTTCCAGAAAGACAAAATTGGAAACTGGCTTCTTTCATGTAGTCTGTTTGGTTTTCTTACTCTAGTATTTCATCCTCCCCTTTTTTATATGGCTGAACTCTCTATCCATTTTTTTCCCCTTTAATTGAGGAGAAGGAAAAGTGAGGAATTCCTCTGTTATGATTTGTAACTGAGATGGATTTTATAGTGCATGGTTATATTCAGACCTAAGTTATGATATTGAGAAGTATTTCAAAATTTTATGATTTTCTGATGGTGTTAATCAGAAACGTTTAAAACCAGTTTACTTTAATTTTTTTTCCTGACTCCATAACTCAGCATTCACAGATAAACACCTTTTTTTGGTTAATTGTTTATTTGTGAATGGTGAGGTTATGCTTTCTCTTTATGTTTTTCTCTACATATTTTCTATAAGGAGCATTTATTCTTTTTGTACTGGGAAAAATGATTAAGATAACTGTGTAAGGAAGCAACCTTTTAACTGGTTTCCATGCCTTTAGTTTTTCCCTGGTGTCTTGCTTCTTAATAACACTCCTTGGTTTCCCATGGCTTCACAAATAGGAGTCCAACCCTGCCTGACTCATAGGGGCTTCACAACTTAGCTTCAGCCTACCCTTCCATTTCATTGCAGTCCTTCCCTTTCTACAGAATTTCTCATGAATCCTTGAATGTGTTGCATTTTTTGATATTAACTCTTTCAGTTGCTCAGGACAAAAGCTTTTCTAGAATCACTTTCACTTCTTGACTCCATTTTTACCAGGGAATCTGTCACTTCTTACCACCTCCACTGTTGCTGCCCCAGCCACAGTCTCCTGCTTCTATCTTTTCTCCACTGTGGCCTGTTCTCTGCACAACAACCCAATCATTCTCTTTTGCTGAAAACCCTCCAAAAGTTCCCCACTTCTCGCTGAAGTCCTTACATGAGCCCAAGAGCCCTGGGTGACCTGGTCTTTTCTACCCCTGCAAACTTATCACTTTTCTCTCCTCAGTTTTACTGCAGACACTGGCTTCCTTACTGTTCCTCCGTCATACCACACGTATGCCTGTTCTCTCTCTCTGGAGTGTTTTCCCCTCAGGTCTCTGCTCAGATGTCACTTTTTTTCCCCCTATTTACAGTTCAGAGAGCAGGGAATCAAATTTTACTTTATCAGGGAGCCTTTCCCTGATCACCCTGCCTAAAATAGCACGCCCACCCTCAGTCATGTTCCACTTCCTCTTTGCCATTCCATCTCTTTCTTGGCATGTGGTATGTGTGTATGTGTGTCTCTCCCACCAGAATGCTAGCTGCTGAAGGGCGGCACTTGCTTTGTTCTCCACTGTATTCCTGTCACCTGCAAGCACTTCAGCCTCTGAGATCCTGTTCTGTCCATTTCCTCTGCTGCATGAGGTTTCCTTTTCTTTTTCTATTTCTTGTTGTCAGTCTTCTCAGCTTTGAAATCAAACACAACCTTCCCTCAACTTCATGTATTCTGATTACCAAGGCATTATTAGTTTCTCTCCTTCCTTTCCAGTTTCTTGGCAAAGTTATGTACACTTATCACCTTGCCCTCCTCACTTGTTCCTCTCTTGGTCCTCTGTCATAGAAGTTCATTCTTGAGTGTGCCAATGGAACTGCTTTGACGGATGTCTCCAACTATGAGAAACAAGGAAACATTTTTTTGCTGCTTCCCTTATTTTTCTGTAGTGGTGTACAGTACCAGTTATTCCTTTTCTCCCCCTTGTAATTCTCCTTTTACCCCTCTGAAGTCTGCCTTTGCTTATATCCTCCTCCCTATCAGTTGACTTTGCTGGGTTCTTCTCTGCTGCTTAACAGAAGTGTTTCACAGGGCTCTGGCTGTGGTTTTCTTCTTGGCTTACTCTGAATCCCCCCTTCCCCCTCATTACTGCATCTCATGATTTTGCTCTGTTGCCTAGGCTGGAGTGCAGTGGCATGTTCATAGCTTATTGCAGCCTTGACTTCTGTACTCAAGTGGTCCTCCCACCTCAGTCTCCTGAGTAACTAGGACTACAGGCACGTCACCACACCCAGATAATTTTAAAAAATTTTGGGGGGTAAAGTTTTGTGAAGTTGCCCAGGCTAGTCTCAAAGTTCTGGGCTCAAGTGATCCTCCTGCATTGGCCTCCTGCATTGGCTTCCTGAGGTGCTAGGATTACAGTCATGAGGATTACAGTCATGGGCCAGTGCTCCCAGCCTTTCCCATGCTTTAACTACTGCTTTTGTTGTTATGATTCCTGAATCTGTATTGTTTGCCTAGATTTTTCTCTTGAGCTCCTGGCTTGTATTTCTCTTCCTGTGTGCATCCTACTTATATCCCACACCACATAAGCAAAATCATGTGCAGTATTCATCCTCTCCCCAATGATACAATGTAACAATAAACAATTGCTTTCCTACAGCTTTCCACATTGGCTAATGACCCATCTGGTCATTTAAGACGACACTTGGGAGTCATTCTCAACTACTTCCTTTCCTTTAACATGGCCATATCTGAATGGGCCTGAGTGGGCCAGCTTCTCTCTCACACAGCTCTTTTGAATCCATTTCCTTGTCTCAGTTCTCACTACTACCCTGCCATAACTTAGGTCATTTCCCCATTTGTAGTGCGGCCCTTGAGAGCATGCAAGCTGAAGCCAGACTCTATGCATTGTGTTTTGGATCTGCCATTTATTAGTTATGTGATCTTGGTCAAGTTTCATGACTTCTCTGTGCCTTAGTTTCCTTATCTGTAAAATAGGGATAATAATTTGTTATGAGGATTAAATGATTTAACAGATATAAAAGTGCTCAGAACAGTGCCTGATACATCATGTTTGCTTTTATTTTGACTACTGTAGTAGACACCTAGCTGACTCCTGTACTGTTGGTCTCTCCTCCTGCTAAAGCACTTTCCATTCTGCCGCAGAGTGAGCTATCAAAGATGGACATTGGATCGCATTATTCCCTTTTGAAAGTCTTTCTGTGGCTTCCCATGATCTTACCACTACTTATAGATCCAGTCATTTCTATTGTTCCTCTTTTCTCACTTTTTTGTTTGTTTGTTTGTTTTGTCTTGTTTGGAGTTGGAGTCTCACTCTGTCACCCAGACTGGAGTGCAGTGGCCGCTCCTGGCCACTACAGCCTCAACCTGCTGGGTTCTGGCGATCCTTCCACCTCAGCCTTCCGAGTAGCCGGAATTACAGGCATGCGCTGCCACGCCTGGCTGATTTTTTTTCTCGACAAGTTGCCCAGGCGGATCTCGAACCTATGGGCTCAGGCAATCTACTCACCTCAGCCTCCCAAAGTGCGGGATTACAGGCTGAGCCACGGAGCCCGGCTTCACCTTTTTTTTTGAGTTGGGCTCCCATTCTGTCACCTAGGCTGAAGTGCAGTGGCACAATCACAGCTCACTGCAGCTTTTGATTTCCTAGGCTCAGGTAATCCTTCTGCTTCAGCCTTCTGAGTAAGTAGCTGGGACTAGAGGTATGCACCATCATGCCTGGCTAATTTTTTGATTTTTTTTGTAGAAAAAAACTCACTATGTTGCCCAGGCTGGTCTCAAACTGGTCTCAAACTTCTGGCCTCAAGTAATCTTCCCACCTTGGCCTTCCTAAGGGCTGGGATTATAGGTGTGAGCCACAGTGCCTGGCCTTTCACTCTCTATTATAGCTGTGTTAATAATTGGCAGTTTCCAAATATGCTGTGGTCTTGCATGCCTTGATATCTTTGCACATACTATTTCTGCTTCTGCTTGAAGTATCTGTCCTTCCTTGGTTTTATCTGCAAATCTTTAATGATCCTTCATGACCATGTTTAAACCTCCTGTAGAGTTAATTGATCATTCCCTTCACACTCACCATAATGTCTTGCAATTATTTATTTCCTCTGTCCATGTTCTTGACATGACAGTGAGCTTTAGCTTCATGCTGGTGGGGCCTTAACCTCCTCTTCTTCCTCTTCTCATGCAGGACTTTGTACAGTGATTTGGCACACAACAAATGCTTCATAAACATCGTTGAATTAGTAATTGGGTACGTGTTCAGGAGTTTACTAAGATTTCTATTGTTTTCTTCAATTTCTCCAGGCTGCAGGAATTAGTTGACCGAGTACTGGAACGTTTTCAGGCATCTGGACTTATAGTGAAAGAGTGGAATAGTGTGAAACTGCATGCTACAGTTATGAATACACTATTCAGGAAAGACCCCAATGGTAAGTCCTCCACAGAACTATAGCACAGCTTGTGATCAGTGGCCTTGTGGAGTTTAAATAGAATGTGTTATCAAGGAATTTCTGATATACCTTCTTTTCTAGGTCTATTAGCTTGTTTTGATAAGCATAGTAGAAGTGGGCAGGGGCATATCTAAAATGATTTCCAGTACTTTTGTTACACTCACACATAGGGTTACCAGATTTAGCAAACAAAAATACAGGATGCTTAGGTAAATTTTAGATAAGCAATGAAAAATATTCTAGTATAAGTATTTCCCATGCAATACTTTGTGTGTGTGTGTGTGTGTGTGTGTGTGTGTGTGTGTGTGTGTGTGTGTGTTTAAGAAGAAAAAGAAGGAATGTTAGCTAGTAAAAGTAAATATTAGGCCAGTGGTCCTCAACTAGGGGATATTTTGCCCTCAGGGGACATTTGTGATTGGCTGGAGATAGTTTTGGTTATCACAGTTAGGGAGCTGGAGGTGGGTTGCTACTGACATGTGGTGGGTAGATACCAGGGATACTGTTTAACACTCCACAATGCACAAGACACCTCCCCACAACAAAGACATACTCTTCCCAAAACATCAATAGCCCTTAGGCTGTGTTAGAGTGATAATTTTTTCTTCATGGAATCGGAGCCTTTATGTAAGAGTGCCTTGTTTAATCCTTGATTTGGTATAGTCGTTTGTTTCCAAAAGGATTCTTCTTTCCTTTCTACCCCCACCTCCAGAGTGGAAGCATCTCTGGCACATTCAGTATCTGATTAGGAGCCACAAATTCAACCTAGATGCACCTTTTCCTTTCAAGACCTGTTGTGTAAAATATATGAGCACCAGATCCATTTTATTCCTTTCTTAGGACCCTGACCTTGGACCTTTCTTAGGACCCTGACCTTGGTTTTAGAAAATCTAAATTGAAAGAGATCTCTATCAGGACTTGAATCAGATGACTATTTGTAGATTTGTAGAAGTCTCACCAGTTGAGGACAATTTTTTTGGTGTCTTTTTGCCAAGGCACATCTTTTTATTTCTTTCAGATACATACCAAAGATTCTAACAAGAAATCATTTAAAATTAACGCCATCTGGGCAGGTGCAGTGGCTCATGCCTATAATCCCAGCACTTTGGGAGGCCAAGATGAGAGGACTGCCTGAACCCACAGGTTCGAGACCAGCCTGGGCAACATAGTGAGATCTTATCTCTACAATAAATAAAACAATTAGCTGGGTGTGGTGGCACGTGCCTGTAGCTTCAGCTACTTGGAAGGCTGAGGTGGAAGGATCAACTAAGCCCAGCAGGTTGAGGCTGCGGTGACCATGAGCATGCCACTGTACTCCAGCCTGGGGGACAGAGTGAGATTCCGACTAAAAAAACAAAACAAACAAGCAACGCCATTTGTAGCGTTTTGGAAGTCTAGAAGTTCTTCCAAAAAAGTTCTGGAAGTCAAGAGATATGTGGCTATCTAGTTATTCTAAAATGTTAATGTTTTGTGATGCTATATTAATTTTATTTAATACTTTTCTAAATAAATCACTGTTTAACCTTTGAGAACACTGAGATCAAAAGAGGTTCAGGTGACTCAAAAAAAGCATAAAAAAGCCTATAGACTCTTGTTTGGATAGTTAATAGAATCCAAAGCTCTGAACTTGTTCCAGTGGAGAATGTTTCTTTCATTTGGGTAGTAGTACTGCAGAATGTTGGAGTATATGAGATATCTGTGTATTATAATGTAGCTTGTCCAGTGGAAACATTTAACTAGGTCTGTGCTATGTATTTTACTCTGGACAGTGTATTTTAATTTTGGAAAACATAGTGAGATTCCCCGAGGTGATGTACATGTTAACATCATTATGTTTGTGACCCGCCTGGGCAACTTGGCAAGACCTCATCTCTACAATAAATCAAAAAATTAGCCGGGAGTGGTAGTGTGCACACCTGTAGTTCTAGCTACTTGGAAGGCTGAGGCGGAAGGATTGCCGGAGCCCAGCA